TCATTCTCTCCATTTCCCTTGATTTTCTTCTTGGAAGTTCTCGACTGTTTAGATCGTCTACTATGGGATCATCTCGCAGTCAACCCTAGAAGACTGGTCTGATGCTTCCCTGGTAAAACTTTTCCACTCAAAATTCTGTCTAATCCAACTTCTTGATGTATGCAGGTCCTTTCTACGGCTCAACCTTCTCTTGGAGGACAACTACCGGAGCTGGGTATTTTGGAGGCAATTTTCTATCGTCCACAACCTCCTCCTGTAATTCGCCCTCTGAATTTGATGAGGCGCAAAGCGTGAGTGTGGAACTGACTTGGAAGCAATTATCCCTGTGATACCTTTCTGCAAATCATTCAGAAGCTCTAGAACAGGCTCCCGAGGAGGTTCGAGGAGCAATTCTATGACTTTTGGCCTAGCAGAGTCTTGCTCTTTAATGGCAGACGAAGAAGATGCGCTCGATGAGGTGGAAGGTCCTAGGCTTGGTCAGGTAAGTCTAAATGCTGGTAATGTTTAAAATGCGATCATATGAGGCAGTTTGAGGTGGCTGCGGCTGCTCCCACTAAAGCGAGCGCTCTAAGCACTGAGTTTCTAATAGTCAAACCAGCAGCAATTCCCGCTGATGGAGCTGAGCACAAGGTGAGTAGAAAAACAACTATCCTGCAGTGGTATTTCCTCCTAATGACGGCAAAGTCCTTTTCAGGTTACCATTGGGATCGTTGACGTTGAACCTATGCTAATTCACGAATGCGTTCCTTCTAAGAATACAAACGCTTTTTTGACGGCTTCTGCAGTGAACAACTCGGAGCTTCCGTTTCTGCAGGGCGATACTTCTGTTTATCTCAACAACAACTTCGTATGCAAAGTGAGATTCCCAAAAATTGATCTTTGTATTTATATCAAACCAGAAATTATGTAAGAGTTGCTAACCAAAGATTGGTTTTACCTAGGGTTCTATGAAAAACGTATCGCCCAGCGAGAGATTTTCTTGTTCGCTAGGAGTTGATACTGCCTTACGTATTGAGTATAAACCGGTCAAGAAATATCATGAGCAGGTAAGAATGCTTGCAATTTGCATGATTCTCTTTTTAATTGTTCTTATGGTACTTTTTAATCTGTAAGCAGCACACTTCGGTCAGGGTAATACTACTGAACGAGAGAGTCATCAGAAGTCGTGATTGTAATTAGTGTTGATGTATGTGACTGTTTTATTGATTACCCCCAAAGAACCTCTATTCTTGCTTGCTCCGTGCTAAAAACAAAAAATTGCCCCTACACTGGCAGCTGCTTTTTTCTGCTTATAGAAATTAGAAACTACTGAGCATCATTCCTTTTAGTCAACACTGAAAGGTCTCTTGATATTCCTACTGAGTATTCCACAGTGAGTGGTGAAGATATTAATCATTAAAAACTACTTTCCAAATAATTAATTTGTGACAAACAAGTAAAAGAGCTGACGTGTGTATCAATTCAAAACTTTTATTGAAAAGCTCTGATTTTGAAAATAGCGAAATTCACGAATTTTTGCCTTAAAAGCTGTGGATTCCATCGCATAACAACTGCAGACGGGATTTTAACAGGGAATTAAATGAGTTTGAAGTTTCCGTGTCCATCCATTTTGGGCGATCGTTGTTGTTACAGGGGATTTTCTAAGCTAAGGGGAATTTTAAAAATTTTGAAGTTCAATCCGTCTATAATTCCCATCCGTTTTAACTGTTTCTCTTCATTGAACGTTAGGCTGTCAGATCTTTCCCGAAGAGGTAATGAAGAGTTCCTCGGAGAACTCAAGATCCTATTTTGTTTACCATGGTATATAGTGGTCTGGTAACCTTATTAGGGGTTTAGGCTCCCATCATGGATTTTAAAAATACGTAGAGTATAAATGAACGTTTAACCTTAGGTTAACTTTC